ATAGCATTAGCATTATACATGTTTGTATTTCTAAAGCTATAGTGTTCCTTTGAATTAAAAGTTTATAATGAGTTTGTTGAAAAATGTCTTGTGTACCAGATGCAGAGCTTAGATCCAATCAAAACCAAAGATAATTTAAAGAGACAGTCTGAGCACTTACATTACTTCTTAAAGCAGTTCTGTGTTTGTTTGTTTTTTGGTTCATTTACTTTCCTTATGTCCCTTGTACCCTAATGATAATACTCTCTCCTTTATTGCTCTCCTTTATTTATATTTATAATCTTGTCTATCTATTAATACCTAGGCTCCTGATTCTGTTCTCCTCTGCCCATGATATCTGCACTTTGCCCTTAGGGATTCTCTTGACGGATCGATTACGAGTAAATCCGTTTAGCAGCTGAAATGGAACTTACACTCTGCCCATTGCGACAATTTGCCGAAAGTCCCTACTAATTCATTCACAAAAATAAAACCAACGAGAAAAAAAAAAAGAAAAGAAAAAATTAATTCAAAAGCAAAACCTGCTAATTGACAGAGCCGCTTTAATTAGGTGATTTTGGGGCATAGATGTCACTGAGAGATACCACTGTTTTCTTTTTTTTTGTCTCTCCGTGTTTCTATTGGCTGTCAATCGTACAGCCACATTAAGGGGTTCTATTTAAATAGATTCAATAATTGAATCTATTTATATGTCTGAATGTGTATAAGTACAGAAAAGGATAACTCAATAGGGATTGGGTGTGCTTCCCTGATAGGTGGAAGTAGTGGTGGTATCGGTGCTATATAATGCTCAACTGGATCAGGATTCACCAATCCTGGGTAAAAGCACAATTATAAAAACTACTAGAAGTAAGTATCCAGGAGCTAATATTTGGAGCATAAAATTATTGGGAGGAAAAAAAAGCAATATAGGAGTTTGTAGAATGTGAATTGTGAAATAATATGTTGAAATATTGGAATAGCCTAAATAAAATACTGTAATAAAAAACTGACCTAAAATGAGTACGTAAAGATAAATCTAAATTTTAGAATAATTGAAATTTGTTGATTGATCCTATTTAAATTTATCTTTACATTTTATCTGAGTGTATCTATTCCATTTTATACCACTACCACTTTCTATTAATGTATATCTTTTATCCTTTAAATATTAGCTCCTGGATACTATGCAAACGTTTAGTCGTTTTTACATTTGTTATTTCGATGTCTGACATCAAAACCAGTGGAATGGCTGATCAAAGCAATGCATGTGCCAACCGAACGTTTCTATTTAAAGAATATTTGGTTGGCCACTTCCTGGCATGAACAAAGTCATTTGTGCTTGTCAGAAATACTTTAACCTCCAAATCAATTTCTGCAGCTAATACATGGTAAGTACTTTTAGAAGTAAGGATGAGAATTAAAAAATAAATTTTAAAAATGCATATTTTGTTTTGCTTTAAAACACCTTTTTTTTAGCATATTCCTTTAGCTGTTTTTAAATCTGTGGTGCTAATGTTTATTGATTATGGTGCTTGTGTTTATTGATTGTGGTGCAGTTTATTGATTGGATCAATAAACTGCAATCTTTAAGTTTGGATTCCAGTATTGTTGAATGGGTAAGGCAGTGGCTGAGTGACAGGCAACAGAGGGTTGTAGTTAATGGAATATATTCGAAGCTTGGAATTGTCACCAGTGTGGTACCTCAGGGATCTGTACTTGGACCCATTCTCTTTAATATTTTTATTAGTGATATTGCAGAAGGTCTTGGTGGTAAGGTATGTCTTTTTGCTGATGATACTAAGATATGTAACAGGGTTGATGTTCCAGGGATAAGCCAAATGGCAAATGATTTAGGTAAACTAGAAAAATGGTCAGAGTTGTGGCAACTGACATTTAATGTGGATAAGTGCAAGATAATGCATCTTGGACGTAAAAACCCAAGGGCAGAGTACAGAATATTTGATAGAGTCCTAACCTCAACATATGAGGAAAGGGATTTAGGGGTGATTATTTCTGATGACTTAAAGGTAGGCAGACAATGTAATAGAGCAGCAGGAAATGCTAGCAGAATGCTTGGTTGTATAGGGAGAGGTATTAGCAGTAGAAAGAGGGAAGTGCTCATGCCATTGTACAGAACACTAGTGAGACCTCACTTGGAGTATTGTACACAGTACTGGAGACCTATCTTCAGAAGGATATTGATACCTTAGAGAGGGTTCAGAGAAGGGCTACTAAACTGGTTCATGGATTGCGGGATAAAACTTACCAGGAAAGGTTAAAGGATCTTAACATGTATAGCTTGGAGGAAAGACGAGACAGGGGGGATATGATAGAAACATTTAAATACATAAAGGGAATCAACACAGTAAAGGAGGAGACTATATTTAAAAGAAGAAAAACTACCACAACAAGAGGACATAGTCTTACATTAGACATTTATGTTTCTATGTAAGTCCATTACATTCTCAAACTAGACAATCTGAAAAAATTCTGGATTAAGAGAAAAATGAAAAAGATATCTGTTTTTTGCAAATATATATATATATATGTTTGTTACATACTTGTACCTTGTTTGCTATAGCCAAACTTTCTAGAAATGTGTTACATACTCTTGACAACTCTATGACAACCTTCTCATCCATAAAGCAACATTATATCAACTTAATTTGGATCTGAATATATGGAAATTTGAATAAATATGAAAATTGGTTTAGAAGATTATTGCTGGTAACAGAATAAGGCCCCATGCCTTTATTCTATATATGATAATTTATGCAGAACTGTCAATTTAAAGGGACATTATATTCACTATATTCATGCAGGGGCATAATTTATACACCAAAACCTATATTCAACAACTTTAGCTGAATTAAGCAGTTTTGGTGTATAGATCATGTCCCTGCAGTCTCACTATTCACTTCTCTGCTATTTAAAACGCTTTTTAAAAACTTCCTGTAAAGAGACATATAACGTTTACACAAACTTTATTGCACGGTCTGTTTAATTTTGAATTTCTTATCTCCTGCCCTGTTACTAGTCTTCTAGAACCTGCAGGAGCCTCCTGCGTGTGATTAAAGGTAAATGTACAGAGCAAGCAATTTAAAAAAACATCTAAAGTGAGTTAACATCTGATTGAAAGTGAAACCATTGTTTCATGCAGGCTGTGTCAATCACAGCCTTGGGAGGTATAACTAGGCCTGCACACACATAAACGAAAGTGATTGAACTCCTAAATGGCAGATAATTAAATAGTGAGACTGCAGGGGCACGATTTATACACCCAAACTTCTTCATTAAGCTAAAGCTGTTTTGATGCCGATAGTATCCCTTTTAGCAGTGATTCAATGCATAGGGAACCTGAAGGATTTGACACAGACAAATGGATATTTTGGTTTGGAGGATCCTGATCCCAATATTACAGTGATGGGCAGGGTTGCCCAAAAGGTAGAGATCCACAGATGTTGTAGAACTTCAACTAGAAATGTTTTTAAAACAATATTCAAAATTCTTTAAATAATGGACAATCTACTTCCAAAACTAGAATGGATAGACTAACTTCAATCGCAATTTAACCGTAGTAGTATGAGCTCTGCAAACCAGTAAATACGCTATTTGGCAAGCTTTCAGGGCACGTAAACCCCTTTTGATAATTATACATTTAATGATCAAGAATTGGAACACTAAACATATGGATCCACACCTCTTGACTGTGTATTGTGAAGTTGCACTTATGTGATATATTGCCGTGGTTATGCACAGTTTCATCTCCATTGTTAAATAGTGTACATTTTCTGTTTCCGTTTTGTTAAGATAAAATGTACATACCAGATTTTATTCACTGTGTGCTCAACTGGTATGTTCCAAATGCAATAAAAAAAATACAATACTTAGGCTGTATTTGCTTTTCTGATTTCAACTGGTAACAAAATGTAACGAAAAGACAGTAGATCGTCGATAACCTATTGTGGGTTTTTTTTCGGCTTCCCTTTTGCTCCTGTGTTCTATTGTCTTAATTTTTTCTCTTTTGTGGTCTACACATTTAAATATACTTTACATAGAAACATAGAATGTGACGGCAGATAAGAACCATTCGGTCCATCTAGTCTGCCCAATTTTCTAAATACTTTCATTAGTCCCTGGCCTTATCTTATAGTTAGGATAGCCTTATGCCTATCCCACGCATGCTTAAACTCCTTTACTGTGTAACAACTTGTAAACCAAAGAATGTTAGTATAAAGGAGAGACTCGATGCACCATATTATGGCAGCAATGACCGCACTGCAGAAGAGGTAAATATTAAAGGGACACTGTAGGCCCCCAGACCACTTCTGCTCATTGACTTCAGCCCTATTGCACTTAGTGCTGCACTGTAAAACATTGCAGTTCCAGAGAACTGCAATGTTTACATTGCAACTATAAGTCTGCGGAATCGAAATGGACGTTTGGTCCGTTATCTGACGCTGGACGTACTCCAGGACGAACTCCAGCATCAGATTTTTCTTATAGGAAAGCACTGAATAATATGGGGAGGTCTAGTGCGAGCGCAGCTATTGCCACACATGCGCATTAGGTCTCCCCCGCCGGGTGACGTTGGTGGGGGAGGAGCGTAGGCAGAAGGGGTTTTAGACCTCAGCATCAGATTTTTCCCATAGGAAAGCATTGAATAAAATAGGGAGGTCTAATGAGAGCGCAATTATTGCTGAGCAGGTGCATTAGGTCTCCCCCGTCGGGTGACGTTGGCGGTAGGTGGGTAGACGGATTGGGGTTTGAACTGCGGGAGGGGGCGCGCGAGGGAGGGGTAACCTTTTAAATACATAGTGTCAGGAAATAGTATCTTAAAAAAAAAAATATATATATATATATATATATATATATAAAAGCTATGGCTGCCATTATGTAGTGTGTCAAATCCTTCCTGCCTACTACTACACAACTGGGCCAGCTTGAGAACAGTTGCTTTATTCCATTGACAAAGAAATATCACAACAACTACAGAGCAAGTGCTGTTGCTGCTGTGACAGAGAGCATGAAACCACCGATAGAAGACCATCTATTGATTTGTAGTCCTGTCATTGGTAGCAAAATTGCTGAATTTCACGGCAAACTTGTAATCTCCTACTCTCTCTGCAAAAAATAAGGTAGCTAAATCTGCAAGTTTGATTGGATGATTGGTTAACATCAAATGAGTAGGATAAATACAAATACAAATGCATTAAAGATAATAAATTATATTTTAATTCATATTCACAAAATTATTTTAAACCCTATAAAATTGTAAAAAGTAGCTCAAGAAAATGATTGCACTTTTTTAATTATAGTTGCTGTTAAATAAACAAATTGATTTATTTACAATGACTTTGACTGCCATGGAGATGTGCAGTGTATTATTTCATAACACCTTGTCTACGACCTGCCACTCGAGGGGATAACGCATGTTCATTGAATTTCTTTGATGCCTCAATATTGGTTCTAGATTATCACTGTAATTCTGTTCATGTGGTTTTTTTGAAAACCCCATACCAAAAAAATAAATCCGTTCCAAACTTAAGGCATCACATCCTGTGAATTATGACTCCAGTGAATTAAGGGACACATTAAGGGACTGTGAATTGATTAACTTTTAGAGCTATAAGATTATGTGTTCCATGTTCAGTAATAGGACATATAGAAGAAGTAAACACAGCCTAATGGCTCCTTGGACAGCACTATAGATGATTTGAGATTCACTGATTTTCTTCTTAATCTGATAGGTTCGGGGCTAACTTGAAAACCTCGTCAAGCAGAGAAACGTGATGTGGGCATCTGTTTAATATTAGTAGTATTGTTATTTATATCGCGCCAAGATATACCGCAGAACTTTATAGTGATAAAATGGGGATAATTGGCAACATGTAGTTGACATACCAAATATTAACAGAGGCAAGAGGTAGGAAGGCCCTGCTCAAACAAGCTTGCAATCTACGAGGGAGGGGTATAGACACACAAGAGGAATTAATGCATGTCAGAGGGGAGGAATAGGCCAAATATGCCGTTAGCACTGAGAAAGTTAGTTTCACAATTAACACAAGTCAGAAGCTTAAAAGCGAAGAGGAGTAGGAATATGGATGGTAGTTAGAAGGAGAAGTGGGGTCAAGAGATTGCTTTTTTTAGGAAGGGATTTTTGATTGCATATTTAAGGAAGTAGGGGAAGATGCCAGTAGACAGAGAGAGGTTGAAATATGCATTAGGAAAGGAACCAGTCTAGGGGACTTAGATTGGATCAGGGAAGGCGATGAAGAGGACAGAAGAAGTTTCGAGACCTCTTGTTCAGAGACTGGGGGGAAGGAGTTAAAAGTGGAAGAGGGTACAGAATGGAAGCTGTGTTGATTGAACAAGGAACATAGACCTGGCTTTCTTTGGTTGGCCTAAGTTTAAGAAAACATTTTATCTCAAATCACAAGTTAAAATCTGTCCATCTGAAAGTAAACCACTTATTCAAGAGACAGTAGAATATTTGCTGAGTGGTAATTTCATACTATGACAAAACAGTGACTGCAGTGCAATAAATGGCTAAAGAATATCTTCAAATAGTTGGTTCCTGAAAAGGTAAAACAAATTTATTGTAGTAACCATAGTGAGCTGCAATAGTAAAGTCCTGAATATGAATTAAGCAATGAAAATTAACTTCTATTAATAAGTAGGATGGGTGAAGAAAGTTTGCTGCATGTCACCAAAGTAATGGAAATATTAAATAAAAAACAAATATTCTGATATCGGGTACTGAATCCAAATACACTGTATGAAGTCCTGTTCATCCTTTGAATTATTGTAATAACAGTAGTACATGGTCAGAGGAATTGTTGAAGTGTTATCGTCCATGCTTGTCGAAAGTAAAAGGTTTCTTATAATTCCCAATAATGTCATCGTGTGAGGCACGTCTGTCCGTCCCATGTATAAAGAATCCAGCTTGTTTGTCCATTAGCTAAAACCTTGGCAGCTGCTGGTTACAAGCCAGTGCAGTCCGTGTTGTTGTAAAACATACAGCAGTTTTGTAGATACAGGGGAGAGGAAGTAACATTTTGCCATTTACCTCCAAATGAAAGTATTCCATTTTGAACTTCAGCACTGTATTGACAATACAAAATAAAAGACAAGCAACCAAACAATTAACAACAAAGCATGAGAACTAAATGATGATATTAGAGCTGTAGGAGTGGTTATATATCACGCATTACGGAAGCTTCCCCTGCAAAGCATTTCCTGTGTGAGAGGCTGATAGTCGGCAGATGGGAAGTGATCCCTTCCACTTCCTGTCTAGCCTCACACACAGACACTGGAGGACCCGGGACAGCACTGAGTTTTACGCCCTCAATAAATGTTCCTGCAACTCTGTTATTAAGGCTGACTTGACTACAGAGGATGCTGGCCCAGGCTTCTGGTACTTATCTCTCCCCACCAGCATATCCAAGCTCATAAGGGCACATTACAAGTGCTGCCAGGTGTCTACTCTACCTAATGTGAAATCCGGCCATGCCCATGATTCATGACGATAGCTATAGGTGGGCTTACAGTTAATTTTTCAACATTATGTTTTGTAGTAGAAAATGACGCTTCATTTCATGTAGTTAGGTTTTTTAAATCATGTAATTTGATTTTTTAAAGTAAATTACTCCTTACTCTTCCTCTATACGTTTTGTTAACTGCCATTTTGAGTGTGTTTAGGGAGGAAGGTGCTGTTTTCCAATCACTCTAACTTGCCTGGTGCTGTGCATTTTTCACGCCGCCCACCGGGTCCGCTCCTGCCAGAGAGCGGTATGGGTCCAGGCGGGCGCGCATCGTTGCGGCGGCATTCCCACACGTCAAGGTGAATGACGCCGGATCCTTACCTGTCCTGCAGACACCCGCCGGGTCTGCTCATGCCCGGGAGCGGATTGGGACACGACAGGCATATCTCGGTCTGGCGGCATTCCCACGTGGTAATGGGAATGCTGCCCATCACTCACCTAAGCTCCTGACGATAGCTCCTCCCCCTCACACAGCCGGGTCTGCAATCATTAGAGATGCCGGCCGCTGCAGATTAGATGCTTTTAAGGGTTTGTAATTAACCCTTAGAGTACCATTCCATTTTGAACGTGTGGGTGTGTCACACACGTCCACTATCACATGCTTCCCAGCAGCGAATCAGGGAGCACCTTAGGCTATATATATCTTTTTTGTCCATTTCTCTGTGCCCTGTCGTGGTTTCCATTGTGGTTATCCGAGAGCGCGTTCGTTGTATTGAATCTAGTGTATTTGGCTTTCCTTCTGACTATCCGATCTCTGTATTCCTTGACCTTTGTCTTGGCTCCTGACTATTCTGACTTCTATATTCCCTGACCCTTGGCTTGTTCATTGTTTCAGTGATTTCTGCATTCTTGTCCATATCCTGTCTTGTGGTTTTTTTCTTTTATATGTTAAACCCGGCCATTCTAAGGCCCGGTAATACGTCTTAGGATTTTCATTAATTTTTGCTTAAGTTCTGTATGTTGGGCATCAGCTAATCCTGACAGCGTTTATAGACAGATGACATACTATTTCTGAAAATACAATGTTTACATTGAAAGCTAGGAACACCTCCAGTTGCAGTCACTCAGAGTGAACCGGAGGGACTTCGGAGTTGATGGAGGCATAATATGCCTCCATCCACTCTGATCTGCTGTCAGCAGAGCACAGGGCAGCACTGTGCACAGCAACCTGTGATTCAGTATCTCCTCCCTCTGCATGCAGACACTGAACTTTCCTCATAGAGATTCTTTGATTCAATTAATCTCTATGAGGAGATGCTGATTGGCCAGGGCTGTGTTTGAATCATGCTGGCTCTGCCCCTGATCTGCCTCCTTGTCAGTCTCAGCCAATCCTATGGGGAAGCACTGTGATTGGATCAGGCTACCACATGTCAGCAGACTGCTTGTTTTTCTGAGTCTAACAGCATGCAGATTTACAGCTTCAGGCTTGAATACAGTAAGATTTTTACTATATTTATGGAGGCATGAGGGCCCCGGGGGGCTAGATGGTGGTGTTAACACTATATGGTCAGGAATACAAGTTTGTGTTCCTGGCCCTATAGTGAATCAGTGATCCTTTAACTTTGCATTTACACAGCTGCATACACTCACTATCTATAGAGTTGTTAACACAACACATTCAAAGCAGGAATATGGGCATACATAGTGACATATGCAGTTGTCAAATATCAATATATGTTTTGTTAGATGTTTTTTATGCCTGCAGTGACTAGTTAATAAAGTCAATAAACTCAGTGTATCTGTTCTATAATTATTTTTTAGGAGGGCAGCAGGGGCACCTTAGAATGATGTTCCTAGAGGCACCTGATGTGTAAATCCAGCCTAGGGAGCACTGCCCCATCTGGCCCTATACGGCAGTATCCAGTGATCAGAAAGACAGACAGACAGAGTAAAAGTGAATGACCCATTTCTAATGCATACTAATTAATAGAAAACATCACTCACCTTCCAAAAATGTCCTCACAGCAGGCATAGAGACTGTAGCTCTGATTCAAAGCACCCCCTTGGCTAAAGAAACCCAAGCAATCCAATTGAGGCGGGTTGTACAAAATTCCTAAAATAAATAAATATGTAAGTTACCCAATCTCTCAGTATTTTTGGATAGAAACACTTTCTGCAGCTAAGATTTATTTTATTAAAAAGACACTCCAGACACCTACGGCACTTCAGCATAGATAGTGTTAAAGGAACGCTCTAAACTGTTAAACTGAATGTTGGTTTTTATATTTATGCAGTTCTCCTAATCACAAATATATTACATGTTCAGAGAAGTGCGCCCCAAAAGCAATCAAGCCACAATGTAAAAAAGCAGACATACACAGGAGTATTGCACAAAATCCACCACTTTTCCATCCTTCATTAACCCCAGGTTTAAAATGTTTTCCTATGTCTAGAAGTGGAATCTATCATACTAAGGGCCAATTTTCGACTGTTGTCAAAATAGTTTCACTATGTGGAGATTCAAATCTGACATTGTAGGTCCAAATTATTTTCAGGGCGCCTTACAGTTACTGATGAAGATACATGGCATATTTCATGCAGACGTTGAGGTTTTTAGGATCCTGTTGTCACAGAATGTCATCAGCCGTTTTGGATTACAGAATCCCTGAGTTACCAATGACAAAAAGACTGAACCGTACGTTTAAATCACACCTAATGATCTAGCAATTGTAGGACAGATACTGTCCCACCATATTTTTAAAAAACGAATTTATAATAAACTCATTTTTAATACTTATCTGGAGGTCCCACTGAGCAAATGCGACATTATGGTGATTTTGTACATCAGGCAAGCTATTGTCCAATCCTAATAAGCCTACCACACCAAGGAGACCCAATATAATGATCTCAGATTATGTTTTGGCTAGTTCTCTAGAGAGAACTGGCTTGACATTTCAGTCCTGACTGCCCTCCTGGTTTGGACCAGCCTGATATGCAAATTGTTCCCACAGTAAAAGCACATGAGATCTAAAACTTTCTTGAATGGTATCTAAGAACTAATCAAGCTGTTTTTGTAGATCACTAGAATAGTCCATATAGTCATTAGTCAATTAGTCATAAAGTAATTAGTCATATAGTCTATGATACATCAATTATGTATCAGAATCCTGTCTTTCAGCCTAAGATTTGGAACAATATTTGAGTTTCTAAATTAAAAGATGAGTTAACACTGGACCAAGATTAATAAGTTGGCAATATATCACCACAATATACTCCTTGTGCTTAGTGTTGGAGATTATTTACAAAAAAAAACTAAAAATTTGTATTTGTGTGCTTTGAAGTGGTTACAATATTGCTTTCATACATTTGTATTTAAAACAGTCACCTATACCACAATATTCAACATCATTAACTTGTAATTTCATCATTCTAATTACCAGCTATGGCAGCATTGACGAAAGAGACACATGCGCCAGTCATCAATGCTCGAAGCACCACCTTGGCAAGGTCACTTTTTCTGTCCATAGCGATGGTGGCTGAAATATAAGTAACCAATCAACACTCACATATAGAACAGAGTCAAACAGTCATATATTAGATTCAAGCATTTGTGTGATAATCAAAGAGAGGCACATGCTTTATGGGGCTTGGGTACCTGTGATGTAAAACAATTTGGGGTATTATTGCTATTCAGAAAATTAAATCATGCATGTGATCAGAGACGTAACTAGAAACCAGCGGGCCTGGTGCGAAAATTGCCCTGGGCTCCTCCCATGTGTCTTATCCCTCCCACCAAGCCCCTCCACGTGTCTTATCCCCCTGCCAGCCCCTCCATGTGTCTCATTTTCCCCTGCCAGTCCCTCAACATGTGTCTCATTCCCTCCCCCACTTCCTCCACGTGTCTCATTTCAACCCCAACAGCTCCTCCACATGTTTCATTGTCTCCCCCAGCCCCTCCACACGTTTCATGGCCTCCCTCAGTTCATCCAAATGTCTCACTCCACCCCAAGTTTCTCCACATGTTTCTCCCATGCCCCAGGTATCTCTCCCACCCCCAACCGCTCCATGTGTTTCTCCCAACCCCTCCATGTGTCTCACCCACTCATATCCACAACAAGTAATAACCTCCACTTTCACTAAGCACTAACCCACCATTTTTCAACGGTTCATGTTATATTGTCCAAACGTTTGTGTGGATTAATTTCTGCAGTACAGCATGTTTTTTAATGTTTAAACACTGATTTTGTTGGAGGTACCAATAAATATAGGCTTAATGTTATCAATAATTTAAATTTTTATTCCTGTAAGTGGTTGTACTTTGCCCCAGGGGGCCAATAATGCTGTTAAGAGGGCCCTGACCTCAGACTGTATTTCTCTGCACTAATTAAAAAGTGTCAAAGACGTAGGGTGGGACAGAATAAACACAAACCACTTACAGAGTACATCTATAGTAACACTTATATCATTTATTTGGTCCATTTATAGCAAGAAAACACTCAGCACTAGTGCAGCCCTTCGATAGCAACACAATTTATACAGCCAGTACATAGTCCATCTATACATGCACAACACAGAGTACTTACACAGTCCCCCCAACATGATTCCAATGGAACTGACATTAGCAAACCCGCAAAGGGCAAACGTGGAGATGACTTCAGCTCGTTCCTGCAAATCACAGTAAGAAAAAAAAAAAGTGAGAGACATAGAAAGTCAATATTTCAAACCACAATTTATAGTTTTCTTACACGAATGCTGCACTGAGCGCTTGATTATTAAATATATATTTTTATGTTGGATATTAGAAAATGTAAAATAGATATTTTATGATATTCTTACATACGTTGTGTTTCATTCAGTGAGTCGTAAGGATAATTTCTCAAATGGAAAAACAGCAGCTGTATTTTTTGTTAGCTAGGCATTGATTTAATTAAAATGATATGTTTTATCGGCAGTTGATAGAATCCAAATAAGCGTTTCATTGGTTTAGATCAAGGGTAGTCAACCTTTTAATACCTGCCGCCCACTTTTGTATCTTTGTTGATGGTAAAACTTCCTTACCGCCCACTAGTGCCCAGTAACTAATTTTATAGTGCAAATATTTAATTTTTTTAGAAAAGAGGGTTATTTAAAAAAAAAGAAAAAGTACTCAAATGTATCTATATTTTTCCAAAAGTAGAATATTTTCTATTCTATTTTTTTTCTGTGTGTGCGGGGGGGTACAGTGTGTGTGTGGGGTGCAGTGTGTGTGTGTGTGCAGGCTTACTCTCCTGTCCTACTGCAAGCACAGCACCGTATCGGAGCATTGCCACACGTGACCAGCCTGCTCGCGGAAGGAACACAGAGCCTATGTTTTATGTTACCAAGGTACTTTTTTTTTTTTTTTCGTAGAGGATGGTGGAGATAACCAAGACTGGGCTGGAAAGATACATTAAAGAGAACATGAAGTTATTTTTATGAGCAAACTAAAAAAATACAGTCTACTTGCCGATATCCACTGCTTTTGTCCATCAATAAATTCTTCAACACCTGTCAGTCGGAGGCTCTTATACTCTGCCAGTCTTTGGTAAGCCACAAATTCATTTAATATGATCTTGGTTCCCAGCAACTCCCCAACCATGTCTGCTTCATTCCAATCTACACCCATCATGAATGCGATGGGCATGAAGATGTAGGAGAGGATCAGCTAGCGATGGAGAATTAATCAAACAACAACTATTAATAGAGAGATACGTCCACAACAAACTGTGAAGACCTTGCATTTAATTACACTTAGAACGTATTTGGGCTGTATGTATGCACTAAGAAAAGGAAAATCCTTGGACGGAACACGATAAATGACACTTTTTGTTGCTAGGACACATATATATATATAAATGACATATATTAAAAATTCTAACACCGTGAAACATTTTTTTCTCTCTTAGTTAATTAATTTTCAAGTTCTATGTTGCCATTTCTAAAGTTAACGACTTCCGTTTTCTCACCTGTAAAGTGAGCTCAGGGTAATTGACCATTCCTCCCAGCCACGAGAAGGCAGCATTAACAAACTGAAGCAAAGCAATAAATGCGATCAGGTTGGCTGCGATGTTGGCTACTAGCCCCACAGAGGCAGATGCTCCATTACTGGCAGCTTCTAACAAGTTCCTCTCTTCTCTGAAATAATAACAGTGCATGTCATATTAGAAATAGTTTCTGTTCATGGCGGAAGGTACATTATATTTGCAATCAATAGCAGAAATTTGCTAAATATGTATTTATTCAATGCATCTCATCGGAGGCTGCTACACAATATCAACCGACACACACAAACAAAATTAAGTTAAAGGGAAAATATAGTGCTAGGAGTCCAAAATTATATTTTGTCTGTTACTTTAATCCAGCACCGATTTCCCTCAGCACTGGGTCCGCCGACGTTGGGGACCTAATGCGCATGTGCGGAGATCGGCGCGATTGCATCAGGACTACCCAATAGGAAAGTATTAAATCAATGCTTTCCTATGGGGTATAAGGTGGAGCTAACCCTCAAAGGTAATTATTGCAGTTTATCAATAACAGCAATAATTACAATTGCAGGGTTCAACTGACAATGAGCTGAAGAGGTCTGGCTGCCTATAGTGTCCCTTCAAATGCATTGGGATTAAAAATCAGCAATTAGGATAATGATAATAGTAACAGCCAATAAATGTTTGCAGATAAAAAAAATCCCAGCAGTTTTCCTTGTCCTTTCCTTTGTTTAAATTCTAATCCCGACTACCAGTTAGCATTACCCATTTTACAATAATCAAGAAAAAGGTGCATTTACCAAATTATGACCATAATAACTCCACTATGACACTATAAAGGTTTGCTCAGCACATGTGCACGTCACCTGCGATGACCTGAGTGAACTGCACTTAGTGTTTCGGTACACGTCACTTGTCAAATTTCTAAAGTATGTATTGAAAATTACATATGTCATGCTAAGTGCTTATTGTACTTAAATATAGAATAAATATATATATATATATATATTTAATATGGACTGTAATGAGAGTTTGCACTCATTAACTTGACTTTTTACACCTACATGAAGAATATGAAATTTGTAGTTCAATTGCGACAGGTGGTAATTTTGATCCATCTAACATGGAAACCAGCAAGTACTTAGTGTTTTATCGTCTACTATTAATCTCGGTAGGAAGGATTTTGCGATCATAAATTACCAGCCACTAAATGATAAGTTTTGTAGCATAGAAACTGCTGGTAACAACAGTAACTGCTATTTTAGAGATTAACGACTTACTATATGATTGGGACAAGCATTGAAAGAAACCCAGTTCCCCAAGTTCCTAGGACCACTAAATAACCATAAGGGGTCAGGATGTCCCCCCAGACAAGCAGAAAGCTAGCAAGGATTCTCATTGATCCCCTAATAACAAATCGTTCTTTGTCTAAATATGATGGTCATGGATCACATAAATCACTGGAACTTAATTATAGTCTCTTCTCGTTCTACAGCTTGTTCACAGATATATAGATAATCATAAACTGAGTTTGTCCAGTAAATGTAAACGTGAGCTGCAGTATGTGAGGGTAATAAGATACAAAATAGAAAACATGTAAAATAAAGAGATTGTACATAAAACAAAAATAAAATCTGTATATATATATATATATATATATAAAAATCTTATTCTTCAGCCCAATGCTTGTGATTAGGAGTTTTTGAGGCCAAATTAGTCGGCTTCACAATTAATTACCCTTTTTCAAGAATTACTCCTTCTTCACTTTTGAACTTTGATTCCTCAGTCTCGGGATAGACCAGCTTGGATAAGGCAAGAGCACAGGGGGCAGCCATGACAGAGGCTGCAATCAACGAAGACGGATCAATCTGTAATGATAGCACGTCTCTTTATGAGCAATACACAACTTATAAATAACAAAAACAGGGTTGTAAACATGGACCCAGGAGCAATGAAATAAACAGTGTAAAAGAGATAGTAAGGAGTCTATTGCATTTTATGCACAAAATGTAGATAAGAACCAGCGCTTATTTAGTCATATTTTGATGTACAAAATGTATAAAAGTAACTTCAAGCTAGCTGCTAAACATTCGTATAATGCTTTCCAACAATACAAACAAAATATACCTGAATAAAAGAAAAATGTAGCGCTTGTATATAAAATCAATAAATTGTCGCTTTTTAGCAATTTCAGAGGAGTTGGTGTGCTTGAATAACCAGCAGATAAATACCTAAAAAGAAAATAGTTGAATATAGTGCAGATGGTATATCACTGGATAATATTTAACGTAAAAATTATTTATAAACTCACAAACAAGGAGCTATAGACCCCGCTCTAGTTTGCATCGCTTTTGGATCCGTTTAGGCGATCCTCCCCTTTTGGTGTTGCAAATCTTGTCCTGAGGAGGGGATAAAAGCAGAAGCGATTGCGCAGTACTATTTATGGGTTTCTTATTAAATAATAAAAATTCCCAAGTGGGTGCTTACAAGCCCAGAGTCAAACAATATGACTCAATTCACACGTATTGTGCAGTTATGGCACTCCCATCCATAAAATGAGGAATAAAATGATGAATCCAGGGATCAGGATCAAAAAAGAAAATTAAAAGCTTAATTTATTGTAACAAAGTATAAAAAAAGCAACAATGTGCCTAATACCAGAACACGTTTTGCCACTACACTGTGGCTTTTTCAACTGGATAAATGAATATAATAATAATATTATATATTTAATTTTCTTTTTTGATCCTGATCCCTGGATTCCTCATTTTATTCCTCATTTTATGGATGGGAGTGCCATAACTGCACAATACGTGTGAATTGAGTCATATTGTTTGGCTCTGGGCTTGTAAGCACCCACTTGGGAATTTTTATTATTTAATAAGAAACCCATAAATAGTACTGCGCAATCGCTTCTGCTTTTATCCCCTCCTCAGGACAAGATTTGCAACACCAAAAGGGGAGGATCGCCTAAACGGATCCAAAAGCGATGCAAACTAGAGCTGGGTCTATAGCTCCTTGTTTGTGAGTTTATAAATAATTTTTACGTTAAATATTATCCAGTGATATACCATCTGCACTATATTCAACTATTTTCTTTTTAGGTATTTATCTGCTGGTTATTCAAGCACACCAACACCTCTGAAATTGCTAAAAAGCGACAATTTATTGATTTTATATACAAGCGCTACATTCTTCTTTTATTTAGGTATATATTGCATTTTATGGCTCTCCTTTCTCTCCATTCAAACATAAAAATGTGTTTAATTAATTTAACATGTTATGGATACCCAAAACCCGACTAAAGATAGCATCACTGGCACAGTATCACTTAGATGATCTAACAATGTATCATGTTTTATTTCGTAACACTATTCTTAAACGGACACTGTATTCACCAGAACCACTACAGCTTAGTGTGCCTGCAGGCTTTTTAATGTATAAACTGCCTTTTCAGAGAAGTCCATGTTTACATTACTGCCTAGGAACATCTCTAGTGGCGGTCACTCAGACAAATCAGCTTTTTGTTGCACATGTGCAATAGCCTCCCAATACTTTCCTATGGGAAAGGATTTAATTGCGATTATTAAGTTTGATGATCTCAGCCAAGGAGGCAGGAACAGGCAGAGCCAGACGCAGCGAGACCAGAGTGGCGTGGGAAAATAGGTGAATTTTAAACCTTTTTACTGAGACCTAAGAGGGACCGGAGACCTAAATAGTTATGTTAAACACTATAGTGCCAGGAATACATGTTTGTGTTCCTGACACTATAGTCTTCCTTTAAGAATACATGCATACCTGTTAATAGTGTTAGTTTGCGTATTCTCTTTTGTGCAACAAAATACAGCACATTAATGAGGCCAAAACCAAAATCAAATGCATAGTGCGTGTATTGGCACCCAGAGTGTCCCTTTAATGAATCTAAATCTATATTATTATATTATCTATATTATTAACATCTGGGACCGAGACAAAGACCACAGTAATAGGTGAATGAAACACAGATAGGATGTAGCATCAGTGTCATCTACCTGTAAACTAACATTACTAGATAGCAGACAGGGCATGGCTGTAGGTTTCAGGGTTCACAAAAAACACGAGTATAATCTATGCTCTAATATATTCCCCTTTTTCTAGAAAAGGTTAACTGCTGTAGGGTGATATGTGAAGACTATGGTGGTATAGTCACTAAACAGCGGGTAAACAAAATGCTAATTGTAAAATTTTATCTAAAATAGAATTGAAAAATTCTCCAAATCAGTGATTGTCATGGCTTGGTTATTTTTGCCTAACTTTTTCAATTCGGTTTTAAGTTACATAAACATTACAATATGTGTGTCATATTGTAGTTTTTAATCAGCAATGCTAACACGCACCCCTCATTTTATAATTACAATATAATTGAGTGCCAAGTTAATTGCCATGACTACGGATCGTTAATGAAACTAAAAAATAACAGTAACAGAATGTTTAAAAAATCGCTTAGAGAGCATCGTACCCCAAAGGAGATGTAGGCTCCCATCACACTTCCAGCAATGGTTGCAAAGCCCCCTGTCATCACAGCATGGATTTCAGATTTAGTCATTTGTGGCAGATAAGGACGGATAAGGAGTGGAGCTTCAGTCTGAAAAAAACAAACATTTCCTTTGTAACACATGACGTGTACACACATGTACATACATACATACATACATACATACACAACATACATACAGATAAACAGAAATCCGGGATTCTAGCTTCACTAATAATTCCCTTGTAATTCACAGGGTATACTGTCAGGTGAAGCTGGATGAGAGGGGGCTATTGAAAGAAATTATTTGGATCCTCCAAATGTTTCTATTTTGTAAAATTGATCACACCTTCTAGGAGCTCAAAATCTTTGTATGTGTTAGAATTTAAAACCAGGCTCCAAAGAAATATCATCAGTCATGTGAGTTTAAACTTTGTCTATAACAATTGATGTTCTACAAATGCAATATTGTTCTAGATCACATCTCCATAGCATGCTGCCCTCCTGCATACCCATAGGAAAAGACCTACGTATGTACATATAATCCTTTAGATTGTAAGCTTCTTGGGCCAGGGCACTCATCACCTGCTGCTCCACTATATCATCGTGTTTTGTTAGAATCCAATGGTTTTCTTTTTCATTGGGTTAATTACAATGATTTATATAGTGCCAACATGTACAGCAGAGCTGTACAATAGGGTCATGCCCCAATTACCTGTCCCACGAAAATATTCCCAGCAACACTCAATGTTTCTGTAGCAGTGGTTCCCATCGTAACCTGCATCAGCCAAGAAATCTGGAAGATCAAAGCAAGATAATTTACCTTAATACAAGTATAATTCATCAAGGCAGGAGGCACAAATGGCTGATACTCTAAATAAACCGAAACAAAATTATTTACGTGAAAAAATGAATGCATGGCAAGATACCGACAAGGACCAAAATATCGGAGTTGGAAAAAGGGCTTTTGTTAGCAAACTGAAGGTTTTTTTTTCCCATCACAATATTTTGGTCTAAATTTGGCAGCTTCCTCTTACACCAAATTCGTAACTATAAGAGAGAAACTTGCTGGTGGCAAATAATATTTTTTCTCTTTGAGTTCTAAACGTAATAATTTTTCATTTGATAGATAGCATTACTATGCAAGTCTAATTGGTGAAACATATAACGGAAGCATGTAGCAGATTAAAATATGATATATCAATTTGCTGTTAAAGCTACAGCATACCTTAACAATGACATACTGCATGATCCCTATGTAGTAGAGAACGGACATCACACAGCTGAAGAAGACCACAATAGGAAGAGCCTGCGAAAGAAGAGATACTAAAAATGTCATAGATCATTTAATATTACAAAGATGTTTAATTATACTAATATGGATATATTAGATTATATTACAAACAAGCTCAGGTATATAACCTATGGTTCAGGATCCAAGATTGGGTTCCCATGCTACATCAGTGGGTCTTTAAAGGTACACTAAAGCGTTAAGAATACAAGTGCGCAAAGATACAAAAAATCCAGTCTTTTATGGACTGTTGTAGTCTTCTCTTCTGGAGGCTCCTTGTTAAAAGAAAATACTCTAAACCAGAAGAGAAACTGAAACCCCTCTTTGCTACAATTAGTCCCCAGTCATAGTTTGAAACACTTCCCATGAATAAAGCATATATTGAACAAAAGAAGATCAATAAAACAATATCAGCTTTTTTTATCCAAGAGGAAAATGACTGACAGTATAGAGTCAGTGATATTTTTTGGAGACAATTTCAGATTCTTCACCATCTTTGACAGACAGCTGAACAGATGCATGAAAAGTAATCTTTGAAGGATTTGAGCTGCTATGTAACTGTAACAATACACTGTTGGCATTAAGTAGAATCCGACAAAACACCACAACTAGTAAACACTTGGGAAGAATTGTCACCTCATATCCCAGCATTTATTGGTATATGTATTTATACCAACCTGAAAAGCAAACACGTTCTTAATAAGCTCTTCTCCAAATACAAACTGTGAGCCAGCAGTGGTGTAGTTCAGGAAAATCTGTAGACACGAGAAAGTTCTAAGTTACTATTTTTCCATCCAAACTTTTGACTTTGTTTTTATCAGAAATGTGTGGATCAACAGCTTCTAACACGACGTTCGAGGCTCGTGGTCAACCTCTGAACGATAAGCTACACAAACTAACAATCACTCGAAGATCAATGGAAAATAACCAGCATTTTGGATTTAATTCATCTTGTTTCAGTAATTTTGGAATCCTGATCCATTCCCATGGACCTAACCAATAAGTTAACCTTAGTGAATACCTAGGTTGATCACTGTTGGATTTTCTTCTGGTATTTAGAAACTAAGATTTTTGTTAACGATTCCAGATTTTTTCCTTCTTGCACTTACTTTGCTGAAAAAGTAACAAAAAGACCTGGACGGTCACAGCTGATGGCTCTAGTATAATTTCTCTGATGTATCTTACTGGAGTTAAATCGTGAATCATTCCTTAAATCATTATTTGACCAAATATATAATCCATCATCCTTTTTTTCAACAATCACCACTATCTACAATGAGCTGAGAATCTAGACACATTTACCAATAACCATGCAGAGCCTATAACCTATCTGAGCTAGATCATTAGGTGATATTAGGCACATTATCCCTGCCTCATGGACTAAGATAATGACCACTGCATTATATAATATCTTCAAACAGATTGTGTTCAATTGGTAATACATATACTTTCATATACTACAATTTTAAATAGTTGTATGAGTGCCCTTAATGATTGAGATATGTCAGAGGAATTGCAACACTGGTAGATTCTACTGGGATTCTACCTGAATTTGTTCTCCAAGGAACTTGAAGGCTTGGTACCCTGGTTCAGTACGTATGATGAAGAGACCCAAAGCAAATTCAAGTCCAATACCCCAGAATACTGCCCGCCAGGATACCTAGAAAGAAAATGAACAAATCTCACCTTTCTGGATTAAAATATGTAATAAATGGCAAATAAAGGCAAATAAATAAAAAGCTGTGAAATTATTTTTGCCCTGTCAGATCTGTAACCTGAAACACTGTGGTTGATTTTAGATTGCATAGGCTGATCTGATATATCAGTTGCCTGAATATAGAATAAAGGCTCACAGACACCAAAAGATCTCCTGTAAATGAAAGCATGTCTCAGGCAGAGAATGGAGGCATCGTACAGTATAATTGGAGCTATTAACTGAGACCCATCGGTAGAGAAAAGCACACACCTGCTGTGTTGATAAATTAGAATGGGAAGGCCATGCTTACTGATAAATGATTGTCATAATGTATTAACTGAGCGTTGTTAAAGTCTACAGGGCTAAAGTTAAATGTACAATGATACTCTAAAGAAAGTATAACAAAAAAAAAAACAGACAGAGCAGGTTTTCAGAGTACAGATGGCAACCTTGGATTTTAACACCTTATGTATTTGTTAGTTTCTATGATACCAAGGAGTGATGGTTGATGCCTGCTGACTTTGCAAGCTCCTCGCCCTTCTATCCCCGCCCAGACCTTCTGTATCTGTCCAATAACAGACTTCTGAATGCTGCTCAATAAGTAATCTTTGCAAGGCAGGTGCTCTGGGCAATTGCTGCCTCTTAAGTTTAGCTTCACTGAGCTAAGCAAACCAGGAAGTAACATGACCTGTTGTCTGATTGACAACCAGGAGGTGTAATCAGGTTGATTTATAAAAGCGTAAATTTCTATTCAAATCTTGTACCGTTAACGGTAATATGGGTAAATGGGTTTCTAAAAAGTGTGTCCAATCATGGTGACTAGCCTCGTGCATTTGGATTCTGTCGAATTGCAATTTGTGTGAATTTAGGCTTATCTTTGAAACATACAGATGTGTAACTTACCAAAGACTAGAGCAAAGGACAAGCATGTTTTCTTCGAGATTCGGAGTTAAAAAAAAAAAAAAAAGGCTGTAGGATAGCTAGGGGACAGGACAGCCACTAAATCTTGATTTTATTCACAGATTAAGTTAGAGGTGACCAATAGAGGGGGGGGAGAGTAACAATATATATATTTATCTCTTATGTATTTAATAAATGTATCTATTATATAAATATAGATTACTTTACTGCTCCTTCTCATTTTCCCTCTAACTTTTTCTCACTTTATCTGTGAACCAAAAGACAATACAAGACAATAGTAACATTATGTATATATGTTGCAGTATACTAATTGGCCAATCCAAATAATTTTCCCCAATATGTTTTCATGAACCATATTCAGACGAGCCTAACGTCGAATGAACGAGTGTTGAAGGTTTGAAAAAATGGTTTGGCCAAAATGAATCAAATCTAATGGTGACCTGTCCTCAGTACAAAACATACAAATCCTAAAATGGTTAGTGGTAGTGGACAGTCAGATGCTACTGAAACAAAATGAGAATGTGAATAACGTAAATAGAAGGGAATAAAATAAATGAATGAGCTGAAATGTGTTCAAGTTTCTACTGACATTTGTATTTTATGCCTATGAATACAATTTAAAGCTTAGGTATGTTGGATGCCCAAATTGCTCTTTTGGTTATTGTTTAAAGAAGACATGTCTTGTTAACAATTGTGAATGAACTATAATTAAGGAGGAATCCACTAGATAGGCTGACTCAATAATTTCCAAATAGAAATTAGCGAACCAAAATTCCACAATTTTTTGTAAGAATCTGAAAACTCTCATTTTAAATATTAATTTACTCCGACAGCCACTAGAGGGACTTCCTATATTCAGTCTTGCAAATATTGCAAAGCATGGAGATGATGGGCTATCCTGGAAATTTCATGTATTTTAATGTCCGGTTAAATTGCAATGTTATATGTGGAAATGTATGCAGTATTCAACTGATTGTTCGGTAGAATCATTCTAGCAATTATGGGAATGAAACTACCGAACAGTCAGACCTCCCCAGTGTGATGTGTGCCTTCAATTACCAGTTGCAACAATGTTGCGAACCGGTAATTGACAATCTGTGCAGTGGGTCCTTTGTTCTCGGGGTGGCCGCCATTCGGGAAACGAACACGTGGCGGCGGCCATTTTAAAACTCCTGAACAATCGGACACTCGACTAGGCGAACACCCTTGAGACCTCCACACTAACCTTGTATTCGCTTCCAAACTACCGAATGACCCCCCGTTCGGTAGAAAGAAACAACCGAACAAGGGGATTCATGCGAACCCTCCCTGATCTCTGTAACACTAGCAATTCGTGTAGTTTGTTCCCTTGTACTGTGACCGACCGCAGGGCCCCATCTCATGGAACCAATTTCGGCTGTTCTCTCCAGCATGGTCGGTCTTTTTATTACCTCCACAGATTTCCCGAACCCCTGGTCCGATCTGGGTGATTTTTGGATATGTTCCTCACCCAGATCAGGGCTACCAGGGGATGTGACCTTTAAAGGGGTACCCCCAGGGCCAGACTGGGGATACAAAGCAGCCCTGGAAAAAAAATTTGTGCCAGCCCCATAAGTCACTGCGCCATATATTGTCGCGTGTAATATGTAAGGCTATGTCTTGCCAGGACAGATGATTGAGTAATTATATATATATATATATATATATATATATATATTGCTTTTTCTAATATAAAATATTGGTCCTTTCAGGGTAAAACGTTTAATTATACAGTAAGCATACGCACATGCAGACACAGGCAATTTCACTGACATTTCAGTGACACACACAAGCTCATTGATACACAGCCTCATAGACAAACAATCTTACTGATATACATCAGCTCATTGACATAAAAACACAAGCTCACTCACTAGCAGGCACACGCATGCAAGCAAGCTCACTCACTAGCAGACGCACACACACAGCTTAATGTGGTGGTACTGGTGTCTATAGCATGTCCCTACAGGCTTTTCAACGTAAACACTGACTTTTCAGACAAAAGGCAGTGTTTACATTGCTTCAAAGTGACACTGCTAGTGACAGTCACTCAGGCGGTCACTAGAGGTGCTTCCTGTGTTAGTGCCCTCCCGCGCTGCTGAATGAGACTGGCGCCGGAATATGACGTCATATTCCGGCGCCGGTCTCATTCAGCTGCGTGCTGGGGAGCAGAGCCAGCGCAGCTCGCGCAGCTCCCTCAGCGGCCGCCAGGACAAGTCCGCCAGCGGCCGCCAAAAGACCTCCCCAGCAGCCAGGGGAGGGCTGGCAGCCTTAGGCCTGGGGGGCAAAACCAGTCAAGTAGACTGGTGCACCTGCCCAGGATCAGAGCCGGTGCAAGGATTTTTGCCGCCCTAGACAAAATAAAAATTTGCTGCCCCCACATGTCACATCACAATGCCCCACCCATATGATCTGCCATATGAACTAACGACAGTGCTGCACACAGTGTGTGTTTACATTAAAAAGCCTGCAGGGACCAGCTGTAGACACCAGAACCACTTCATTAAGCTATAGTGTCCCTTTAATGTGAGGTAAATTATAGATTAGTGTCACTAATAATATAATAGATTGCCTACTTACAAGCAGATGAGGATGATGATGGGCTGCAGTTTGGCTCCACTGGTCTGGTGTAGAACAGGATCTCTGGAGGCTGTTTGCAATTGTGGTCACAAAATTCAATGTTCTGGGAGAATTGGAAGCAGCTCCATTTTTTGGGGCCCCTTACACAGCTCAAGGTCTGGGCCCCAGGGCCTGACGGTGAGTATGCCCATAAGGCCCACTCATAAATTCCACCCACCCATGAGTTCGCTCACAGGGAGTGGAGTGTGTAGGGGATGTGTTATGTGTTATTGTAGAGGATCTAATATGTGTGCTTATGGTATGTAGTGTATAGGGTTACCAGTTTGTGCAGGTGATGCAGTGTGTTTGTGTGTAGTGGAAGCAGTGTGTATTTGTGTATAAGGGATGTATTATGTGTTTCTGGTTGTGTGTAAGGGATGCATTGTGTGAATCTGTGTTTGTATGCATAAGGGATGCAAGGTGTGTGTCTGTATGTGTGTGCATGAGATGCATTGTGTTTCTGTGTGTATGTAAGAAAAGAAGTGTGTGTGTTTGCATGCGTGTGTACGGGTTTGCATTGTCTGTTTTTGTGTATGTGTGCAAAGGATGCATTGTCTTTGTGTGTAAGGGTTGCATTGTGTGTGTGTGTGTAATGGATGCATTGTGTGTTTCTCTGTGTGTAAGGGAAGCATGTTGTGTTTCTGTGTATGTATAGGGATGTATTGTGTGTGTGTGCGCGCGCGCGCGTAGTGTGAAAGAGCTCCCTGTCTTGGCCCCTGTCCTATAGAGCTGCCCCTTCTTCTTATTCCCCCCCTCCCCTCTTCTTATTCCCCCCCCTATCTTATTCCCTCCCTCCCCTCTTCTTATTCCCCTCCCTCCCCTCTTCTTATTCCCCCCTCCCCTCATCTTATTCCTACCCTCCCCTCTTTTTATTCCCTCCCTCCCCTCTTCTTATCCCTCCCTCCCCTCTTCTTATTCCCCCCCTCCCCTCTTCTTATTCCCCGCCCTCCCTCTTCTTATTCCCCTCCCTCATCTTATTCCCCTCTTCTTATTCCCCTTTTATTCCCTCCCTCTTCTTATCCTCCTCCCTCTTTCTTATTCCCTCCCTCCCTCTTCTATTCCCTCTTTATTCCTCCTCATTCTATTCCCCTCCCTCATCTTATCTCCCTCCCTCATCTTATTCCCCTCCTCTTCTTATTCCCCCTCGAGTGCAGCTCGCCACGCTATAGTGCTGCAGTCGCCTGACCGCTTCCTTCACAGAGCCAAGCAGCTGCAGCATGCTGGCGCTCCAGGAACCCAGCCGGCCCCCAGATGCCGCGGCCCACCGGGAAATTTCCCGGTATCCCGGTGGGCCAGTCCGGCCCTGGGTACCCCTAAGTTTAGGGGTACATCCAGAAACTGGGGGAATTTGTGTACTGTATAAGGGGATTATGAGTCAGGCTAAGGGCAGGAGATGTGTGGGAGGTTACTCGAGTATGATTGGACACTGTAGTAACTACTGTAAATCCCTCCCTTGCATGGGAGCATGCTTTATAAGGCCACTGTGTGAATAAAAGTTTAGTTCTGCTCCTGATGCTGTGTGTCGTCCAGTCATTAGGATCGCTGTTGGGATATTGCTATATTATTTTACCTGCTGGAAACCTTGCCTTATGGATTTATAAATACTTGTTCCTGAGCCTCACTGGGATCTTAAGCGGGGATAACTTGTGGAATACTAGATCTCCGCTACAATATCCATAGGGAGAAGCTGATTGGTACAGAGCAGCGATTTGCAGTGCGTGCGCAATAGCCTCCCAGTGCTTCCCTATGGAGAAACATTGGATTGGCTGGGATGAGAGCAAAGAGACAGGTGCAGCAAGGGCTATAAAGGTGAGTAGAACATCCTTTAGCACACATGGGGTAATCATCTAATGTGTTAGTTGAACAGTATCTTTAAGCTGTACTCTAGTAAAAGGAATCATTTAAAAAAAAAAAAAAACAACTTCAGGACACAATAACATTATTATTATACAGTGAGAGGTAGCAAGTTATTTTGCAATAAAACATCCATAGCTTCTTATTCATTTTATATTTACATTTATTCACTTACTGCGCGGTGGTGTTTGGATACAATAAACAGGAGGATGACGAACATGCAGACTCCAGCAAATGATATGAGTTGTTCTGGTCTTTTGGACGTGTCCAACACCAACCAAGCGATGAGTCCAGCAAGAACTAACAACGAGAAAATCCTGGAAGGATACAAAGAAATCAATGAAAAAGAAACACACAAATAGACGCTATTAACTAACGCTATTCCTGGAACACTAACAGATATTTCTAAACTTTACTGAGAAAGAAGTTTAATACGATCAACAGTAATAAATACCGAGATGATACCGCAAGATGTATATCGATAAAATTCTAGATTCTAAATACTGTAACTGTGACTTTAGATACGAAGTCCAGATATATTTATTAAAGTGAAAAATAAAGTAATATATGTATGCATGATGTTCCACTGAGTTCCTCCTGGTAGTAGCTATGCTGGAGCCTTTTAACCATATATGCATTTAGCCATCATTGGTTTCTGGTCCTCTCTATGCATTGATGTTGGTGTAGGGATCTTATAAAATACGTCTTGGAATATGAAAAGGCTGGGTATTGGGTAATGTATGTATGGCTATTTTATTGACTTGTCACTCAATATGGTTGAGCTATTTTAGTTGAATGAGATATGAATAGAGTGTAGGCGAAACTAAAAAGGCAGTAGCCTAAAAAGGCAGTAAGCATGAATAATATCTCATACTATAAAACAAAGTGTGGGGATGCAGTTTGGTATCCAAATTGGCTGGGTTTTTGGCTGCTGGTGCTACCCTACTTTCTAAGCGTGTGTTGGGATTGCTGGTCCTGTTCCGGAGCATCTGTGGCCGCTGGGAGTGAGTGCTGTTCCTGTGACCAATTTTGCTACCCTACGTTCTAGGCTCAACAAGCATTGTGCAGACTAAAATTCACACGCTCAACAACAGACAAACTTTACGACGAATGTTAAATACATCTAAAACTAGAACCAAATGTAAGCTGCACTTACCACTTTATCCATCTTCTATGCTTTTTAAAAAATTTCGCGAGTGGACTTAGAAATTTCGCAATCTTCTCTCCAAGGAGTTTCTTAAGCAGGTCATAACAGACGAAGAAAAACACTACACACGTAATAACAAGCAGGGCCAAAGCTCGCTGGAAATTCAATATACAGGCGGCGATCAAGAAGGCCAAAAAACCTGTGAAAATCGGAATGAGTGGATTATTAGTCATGAATTACACGTTTAGATTATAACTGCTGAAAATAACATTTTAAAAATAGTTTTCTAACTATTTCAACTGGAAAAGGGGCATTAAGACTAAACCTAAAGGGGATTTAAAATGTAAATATGCCATTGGAGATGGAATTACGTTGTGTTTTGCAAACTGACTTTGTTGGGGAGGAGAGATGTTAAAGTAAGGAGATGAACCGTGAATTTGTTGTTGTAGACAGTAACTTTGACCACAAAGGGCCAATTAAGAATGTTGGCCATTTGAAGAAATGGTAACAAAATGTACTTAGGAAGCAGAAAGATATACAAAAAACACAATCATGGGCATAGCCAAGAAAGGCCGAAGAAGGTCTGTTAAGCTCTTTGCAATTTTTATTTTGGAATTCCCAATTTCCTGTAAAATTAACTACATTATCTGTTTTGAATCATCTATTCCAGAGCACCATTCCCACAATTGTCTTTTTCTTTAATCTTAAGCTTTTCTGTATCATTGCTGCACAGTATAATAGCGTTTTTTCAGAAATACTGTTTGGGACAATTACACATAATCTATGGCTAGAACCACTAGGCATGTATGTTACATTGCGCCGTGACATTTGTGAGAAGCATGCAACAAATTATAATGGCTTTACATTTATATCAGGGTAAATGTGAAACAAAAATTAAATAACAAATACTACAATAAAAAGTTCAGTGTAAGAATGTTCTTTTTATAGGTGGATATTGAAAAAATTCTATTATGTTACCTGCACCAAGGATTGAGAAAAGAATTAGTTTCAAGACCGTTCGGTGACGTTTGCCAAACTGAGTAGCTTTATCGACTTGCTTAGACATTTTACTGAGAAAGAAAAGGACAAAAAAACTTACAATAGAAAAAAATCTATGTTTATATGTATAGATACAATTATATATATATAGAGTTAATTTTCAAACATCCGAATTGAAGGCGTCCGGGAATTATGGGAACCCCTGTTTTTAGGTTTATACTTATAGGACCTCATGCAATGCTCTGTATAGCACAGTAGCCTGGTGTAACTGTGCCTACTCTATGTGCCATAATGCCCAATTTAGATACAGGAACATTTTAAAAGTTTGGAGGTATTTTTAAGAAGATGCATTCCGACAAATGTTATCACATTCCTTATATATATATATACCCATATGGATATTGAA